AATATTACTCCCAAATCTTTAATTTCACTCACTCGTGACAGGTGTGAGTTAGATATGTGGTAATAGGTGTCAATGACATTGACACGCTTGGAAAATTTTAAATGGAAACACTTGTGTATGTTCAGGTACAAACGATTGTTGTTACACCAGTTACTCACATTATCTAAATCGATTTGCATCAATGCAGAGTCATGATAGCATCTGATCAACGAGTAGATCTTAAGGTCATCCGCATATAGCAAAAATTTTGCTGACGCGAAGAAAGAGCAAATGTCGTTGATAAACAAAACAAACAACAACGGGCCCAGAATTTTTACCTTGTGGTACCCCAGAATAAGCAACAAACGGAAGAGATCTAACGTTGTCAACAACAACCATGCAACGACGATTGTGCAAGTAAGAAGCGATCCATCTAAGGAATACTGAGTGGAAACCAATGCATGCTAATTTTTTAATCAGGATCACATGGGAAACCCTATCAAAAGTCTTAGCGAAGTCTGTATAAACGGTGTCAACTTGATACCCTGATTGAAAGGCTGCGGTACAATCGTCTGAGAAAACAGCTAAGTTAGATACTGATGAACGGCCTGGAAAGAAACCATGCTGCTCTGGACACACCATACTTTTGACTGCGAAAAGCAATTTATTTTGGATGATACACTCAAAAAGCTTTGCCGTGGCGGAATGCTATGAAATAGGTCTGTAGTTGCTAATATCGTTTTTATTACCACTCTTAAAAATAGGTGAGATGAAAGCCAATTTCCAGGCATCAATAAAAGTACCAGAAGATAGAGATTTGTTGAAGATTAACACCAATGGATTAACTAAGGAATTACACCGCTTGTACAAAACCGCAGACACCCCATCAACATCAGTGTGTGAGGAGGGTTTAAGTCGAGCAATGCCGCTGAAAACATCTTCGGTGGACAACACTAGCTTGCCGAAGTCGATAGATGGTTATATTTATATCGAAGAAAACATTTTCTTCAGTCAGATAGAGATGCAAAATTCGACACTAAAAACTCGGCAAAGAGACTAGCGGCATCTGCAGGATTGTTAACTGCTTTGTGGCCGAAGAAAAGAGAAGACGGTATATTAGAAGTAGACATCTTCGCATTAACAAAGTTCCAAAACGCTTTCGGATTGGATTTTAAACTTTCTTCAAAACTTAAAACATAGTTTTTGTGCAAAAGTTTATCCAAGCACACGAATTTCTTATTATATCCTTCACGTAGAAATTTGTTTTTCTTATATCGAAGTTTAATCAAGGCCGCATTGTGCCAAGGTACTTTATAATGCTTCTTCGTTACCACTTTTACAAACGTTTACGACAGTGACTCTAAACACCTCAAAACACTCAGAAATGTCAAGATGATGGAGCAAGCTGACCCAATTAATGCTGAATAATTGAATTTCAAAAAATCGCATCGCTTAAAATTAAAGGAGAAATTTGAATTAACATTAATAGTTTTAGGATATTCATAAAACTCAAGATCGAGAACTAGAGGTACATGATGCATATCCGATTTTATAATAGATAAATTACATTCATTCAAAGAAAAATTTACACTTTTACTTAAAAAAATCAGATCTAAAGTGCGCCCAAGTTTATTCTGAAAAGAGTTAATTTGCCAAGTTGAGATTTGGTTCTGATACCAGACATGTTTTGAAAATATATCTTTAATCTGTTACTTCCTCCACCTGTTCCGATCGATCGCTATTGGGTTCCACTGGCAGCGCATCGTTTTTTGGAAGGAAATTAAAAGGACGAATAATCACGTTATTAGGCCACAGCTCGGGCAGTAATAGCTTCGAATAAGAATTTGCATCCACGCCCACCTTGAAGTTAACACTCTTTAGAGTTGTAGGATCAACACCCTTTTTTTATAAGTGTGTAACAAAATATAGTTTTCCTGAATGCCAGTATGCTTAGCAATATATTTTTTGAGATGACCAGCGGTAACTGAGGACGAAAAGGGCAAAATGCGTAACCATCTCATTTTGGTTTTTGATACAACACTTAGTTCATTATTGTTGCTTGATCCAATATCTTACGTCTGTTATCCTAGGGAACAGTTTTCCACATGGTGCTTTTATCTACATTCGGCGTAGAAGCATTAGCATTATGGACAAGCGGAAAAGGGACGAAGCTGGTACATGAGCAGCATAAGACGACCAAGCTTGCAGAGACGTTGAACGCTGACCAGCAGAACTCAATGTCGTTAGTACATCTGTTACCATAGTATTAGCAGCCGGCAAAGACAATGAAACTGGCATGTGCACAGCATGATAAGCAATTGAAGGTGTTTGCGAAGATGCTGGAAATGATGAAGATGAAGCAGCAGCAGTCGGCCGAGACTCAGAAACAGCAACACTAGCACTTGAATCAGCGGGTACGGGAGAACAAACAGAAAGCGAAGAGCGACTCTCACCAACAGATATAGCGCTCGTATTCAAGAATGATAGAATACAAGATCAAGGCACATAAATACAGGTAGAAGCCAAAATGACGTTGCTCTCATGAGAACCAAACCTTTAAACTTCAACTTGTTTTTCTTTTATTTCCTATATTTCATTACGCTTTGAATGTCATATCGTTGTTTTTTTTTTATGTTCGTTAATAACAAATTTTAATTAACATGTGAATTTGTGTAGTGTTGTGCGGTTTATACTTAGTGTATGTGTTAAAAATGCAACACCTGAAGCGTTGTTTTTTATGTGGTGTTAAATATGAAGCAGATACCACTAATTGTTTTTAACGTGCCTCAATGTCCTTCGCGTAAAGAGCGTTGCGAAAACAGCTGTGGGACAGAGCTGCAGCGAAATGCCTTGCTGTGCGTTAAACATTTTAAAGCAGTAAATTTCATAAATGCACCGGGAGGTACAGGAAAGGCACGTTTGATGCCAAGTGCTGTTCCTATGACCCTTATGCCGGAAAGTCCCTCCAACAACACTGCAACTCATAAATTAAAAACAGAAAACAACATACAAATTAACAAATTTTAACTAAAGAAAAAAAAATTTTTATTTTTCCTTAGGTTAGGTTAGGTTAAACGGGCAGCTCTGAAAAGAAGAGTTCACTCGGAGGCCGCAGAGGCCCATGGGGGTTACCCCAAGCCTATCCCTGCATGTCTTCGAAACATTTTAATTTTCTGGCAAATCCTAGCAGTCCTTCCAGAGGAGCTTTCCCCAAGATATCCAATAAGTTCACTAATTGCTGTCAAAAAAGCAAAAGATTCGAATGAATGGTTGCTGAAATATTTCAAAAAGTGTAAAAGCCTGCATAAAAATTTGTTTGCAATTGGGTGGCTCACTTGAGAAAACTTGACTCACAGATATACTTATTATCACTAAATAAAGCATTACTAAGCCACTTTTTATTCGATTTTAATTTACTTATGACTTTTTATGTACTTTTTTATAAATTTCAAATAATTTTTTTGTATTGCCTCACGATCAAATAAGAGCGCAAATAAAATGAAAGTTTTTTGAAAAATTTACTAAGCCATTCTCCAACCGATTTTCAAACTTTTTTTTTGTTGGGAAGGTAAAACCCATGTCTTTCAAAAATTGTTAATTTGATCAAAAAACTACAAAGTTATAACTTCTTATTATCTTTGTTAGTAAAAAAAAGTAATAAACGAAGTGATGGAGAAAAACTATAAGTATAGTCGTATCCTATGGGCTACAACAAAACATAATTTCTATATGAAAACCCCTGCATACTTTTTGTGCAGCACAGTGTAATCAAAACGATTCATGGACCTTACCAAAAATGGCCAGATAGCCGTTTTTTTATACCATTTTTACTGTGACTACGAAAAATCAGCTGTTTATGGTTATGGGCCCTATAATCGATGATAGTTAATGTGGTTACGGTTATAGAAATGAGCAGAACCGGTCCGAACGGCGCGTGTGTCATGCACTTAATAATAATAATAATAATAGATTGGCGCTTACACATATGTTAGTGTTTGGCCGAGCTTCTCCTCCGACTTGTGGCGTGCGCCTTGATGTTGTCACACAAAGCGGAGGGACCTACAGTTTTACGCCGACTCCGAACGGCGATTGTATTTTTATGAGAAGCTGTTTTTCATGGCAGAAATACACTCGGAGGTTTGCCATTGCCTGCCGAGGGACGACCGCTGTTAAGAAAAAACCTTTTTTTATATTTTTTGCGATGTTGCTTTGACCAGGGCTTGAACCTAGGTGGTGATGAGTGAAAGCGCGCACTGCTTGCCACTACACCACAGCGGCACTTGCTTCTTGAATATTCGCAATCCCTAAATATACAGCTAATTTTACTAAATTATACAAATAATTGCATAAAAAAATATTATCCTTAAGAGTATTACACAATGTAATATTTCACTTACTCTCGTTATATATGTATTTAACTTTAGACACATGTCACTAAAGGCTCGCTACAGTATGGTACTCGAAATATGTTTCTAAAATAATTTTTGGAATATTTTTTTTAAGTAAAATCTCTAATTTAAAAGAAAATCTCAAAAGCACAGTTTATATCCAATGTAAGCAATGGCCCCTAAGAAGAAGTGAAACTACCTTTCAATTATTGTATCATGCAGTTAAATGATCAATGAAGTCAAAAGGAACGAAATAACTTATGCCACATTCAAAACAAACGGCACTAAGTTTCAAAAGAATTGGCTTACAAATTAAGCACAGTGGATGTACACTCAATCTCCCCTATTTTTCTACCCTTAAAAATTTACGGATCGACTCCAGAACTTCCTTCTGTTTTCATCGGTTAAATTATGGAAGAGTTAGTAATTTTGTTAAAATTCTTAATAAAGAAAAAACAGTTAATTTTGATCTTTTGTCCATTTCTGCCCAAAAATAAGTCCGGGAAGCTTTGTGCAGGAATAAAAGGATGATCCAACACTTCGCAATTTCCGTACTAGTACCTAGTACCTAGTTTCGTAGTTCTAGCTCCCGAGGGGTCTTTTATACAAAGCTCGCAAGAAAACAAAATAAGCTAGGGTTTAAAGTCGCCGGGCATTTTACAAGCTTTTATTTATATATACTGATAGTGTAACTTACATTTCAAGAAAATTTAAACATTTAAAAAGCCATGAAAGCCCTTGCCTATTATAGTGATATACGAATATACTCGTATATTTTTAGTACCTACTGGTGTTAATCTGTGAATTTATTGCTGTGTTCACTGCTGACGAGGCAGCTTGTTGTATATGTTGATTTCTCATGAATTCTGTAGCGAACTCTTGCTGCGCCTTGGCCATACTGGCTCCAGTACTACGGTAAATTGTGTGAATCTAAGGTATAAAAGAGAACCGTAAATGAAATATGCATACGACAAGTTGTTTAGTTCTTATGTATCATAAATCTCTTAATTATTAATAACCGCTTAAGTCGTCTTAAGCCACCGACTTTCGCAGTCATTGCTTTCGAGCCTAGCTATTAGGATATTAAAGTGTACCTTAGTTATCATCATTATATTTGCAGCGGCGGTCGTTGCAAAACAAAAAGCTATGCAAAGCAAAAGTAATCCGACAATGATGCCAGTTGCCGAAGAATCAAACTGCGAGATAGCAACAATAAATCCGCAATATCCTGTACCAGGAACACCAACGGCTTGAAAAACCGTAAGCACAGTTTGGAAAAAGTACACAAAGAAAAATACCATGAAGTTAAAACTGGAATCATTTCGAAAAGCTTTATAAGCCGGTCGAAACCTATAAAAAAAAGTTATAAGGACCTTTCTAAGTTAATTTTATCTAGTTAATTTACTTACCAGCAAATATATGATGCGGGTGTTGAAAGCATGGCGTAAAACAAAGCTAAGCCAAATGTAGTAAATCCTCCATCATGCAATAAAAGTATTAGCCCACCGACTATATTTACTACCATTGTCATGGTGTAAACTGAAAATATAGCAATTACAAATGAGTCAGTTATTTAAATAAATACTACGATGCATCACCAAAAAAAGGTTCTTATATATAAAAATGAACGTCCGTTTGGGTAAGGTTTATGGAATCAACTATGCCCTAAAGCAAATTAGTATAAATTATTGAAATGATAAGTTCGGTATCATGTCATGAAGGTTCAGAGCATATGTACGAAGAGTTACCGATAGACAACGCTGTGCCCTAATCAGCTTTTCATCTACTATATTCTTATATATACATATATAAACCGGCCGAACCGATTTGAATAATTTTTTTTAATTGTTGTGTATAATACCGGGATCATTTATCACACAAAAATTTGGAGAGTTGCCACCTGTTTGAAAATTTAAACTCAATTACACTGATAAAAAATGAAATATTGCAATGAGGGTATCAAATTAAAGAAGTTTCAAGAGATATTTTTGAAAACTTTAACTAAGTTAAATTGATAATTGAAATAAGTATTGCAATGCGGGTATCAAACTCGAGAGTCTTCGATTTCGATTTATTCAGTCTATGACATGGTATATCTTACAAACTAGAGGTAAATTTTCTTAAATCTAATGTATACGCAGATGAAAACCCTTTATGGGAAAATTAAAACTAACGATACAGATCATCTATGGCTGACTTAAAAACAGATCTTTGTTATGAAAAATCAATATTTAATTTTTTTGAGATTGTATTATACTCTAAAAGCGCTCTGAATATTGGTGCATGAGAGGACAGCGGCTCTTCAAATTTTATCGATTGAAGTGCAAAGCGAATGAACTTCCGTTGCACCCTTTCAATTCTAGTAGCATGGCAATTATAAATCGGATTCCATATAATAGCGGCATACACAAGTTTTGAACGAACCAAAGTATTGTAGAGAAGTTTCCGGGTATACAGATCCTTGAAATCCTTTGAGTAGCGGCGCAGAAAAGCAAGGTTACTGTAAACCTTAGGAAGGACATAACATATATGATTTCTGAAATAAACCGATTATCGAATACAACTCCAAGATCAACAAAATCTTTAATTGAAATAAGTTGGTGGTTAAAAATAGTATAGCGCGATTGCCGAAACTCCGGAGCTTTAGAGATAGACATATGAAAACATTTGTCAATATTAAGTGAAAGTTTATTCCTGCGACTCCATTCGACAAGATTATTTAAGTCCTGTTGTAGGAGATGAGAATCAGTCTCACCGGTAATACTACGAAAAAACTTCAAATCATCAGCATAAAGTAAAAAATTCGAGTTTTTAAAACAGGAACCAATGTCATTTATGAAGAGAATAAATAAAATTGGGCCAAGAATGCTTCCTTGTGGGACACCCGAGGACGCAACAAAAGAAAACGACTTACAATTTTCAAATTCAACAAACAACAATCGGTTCGAGAGATAACATTTTAGCCAAGCCAAAAAAACAGAGTGGAAACCGATACATTCGAGTTTATGCATGCATTGCATGCGATACTCTATCAAAGGCTTTCGAGAAATCTATATAAATGGTGTCTATTTGAAAACCACATTTGAATGCAGAGATACAGTATTGAGAGAAAACGGCTAAGTTACTGACAGTACAACGCCCATTGACAAACCCATGTTGGTGCGGCTCTAAAATAGATTTTATGCGAACGTAATTTTTTCTTTAACAACCTGTTCGCAAAGCTTTGAAAAGACTGTTAATTTATATATTGGTCTATAATTCCTTATATCATTCCTACTGCCTGATTTAAAAATAGGGGTAATGGACGCGACCTTCCAACGATCTATACACACCAGTAGAAAGCGATAGATTAATGATGAAACGTAAAGGCGCACAAATAGAAAATTTACATTGCTTTAGAAAATAAGAGCAAAAACCATCAATATCAACTTTCAAAGAAGTCTTTAGGGCAGTTATACCATTCAGAGCATCTATTTCAGAGACAGCCAAATATCCAAAGTCCAATGATTGGGTAGAGTAGACGGGCGTACAAATAGGGTCATCATCAGCTACAAAATTAGACTTGAAAAAATCTGAAAAAAAAGTTTACAGACTCAGACAGTGATTGTAAACACAATCCATTGAAATTCATGCATGTTGGAATATTGGTACAACCTTTTTTGGAACGAACGTATTTCCAAAAAGCTTTGGGGTTGTCTTTAAGTTCAGTTTCAAATCTACAAATGTATTGCTTGTATAAAAACTTATCGAGAACATTGAACTGATTCATATAATAAATGTATTTTTCTTTCAAAACTAAATTATTACTTTGAGCTTTAAATAATTTATAGTACTAGTTTCTTTGATTTTTTAACTTTTTAAGGTTTTTGTTATACCATGGTAATTTATGAATAGGAGGTGAGAGAACTGAAAGGTTCTTCGAAAAGACATCGTGAATTTCGCATATAAAACTTTCAAAACAATCAGCTAAATCACTGGTGTTAAGAACGGAGTCCCAATTTATATTGGTTATGGCAGCGTTTAACCTTTCATAGTTAGCATTACGAAAGTTATAAGAAATGCATTTTTCATTACCATAAGCAACAACGCTATAAAATTCCAACTTTAAGAGTCACATGATGTTTATCTGTTTTACTTATTGGAAAAGCGCATTCAAATAAATTAAATATTATGTTAACAAATACAAGATCCAATATTTTACCTAACTTATTAAATAAGGTATTAATTTGGATAAGGTTAAGACTAAGAAGGCTATCCATAAAGTACATTTCATGAGATCTATTAACATTAGTTGGTGTCAAGATACCATTAAATTGTAGGTCAGACCATACGAGATCGCTAAGATTGAAATCACCAAGAATGCAAATATTACAATCTTCATTTTTTTCACAAAGATTAACAATATTTTCAGATACGCATATAAATAGTTTACGAAAACTACTAAGAATGCAGACACAAAGCTGATCAAGAAGAGTATCATTATTTGATAACTGTTGTATTGAAGATCGTAAACCGCTCTTCACAGCGATCAAAACACCCACACCCGTATAAGGATTATCATCGGGCAGCACAGCAGATAACTGAGTACATGGACTAGCAGCAATCATCGGAGTTGACGTCGCAGTCACTACATTAGTGACAGTAGCAGACGAGGGAGAGTGCAACATTGATGGGCAAATTTGAGCGGGCAGCAAAGAAGATAACTGAGTGCCAGTAGCAGTGACATGGGAAGATAGCGTCGACGCTGCGTCCGCCGCAGTAGCAGAGCGAGGCGGCTGTTTAGCACTCCCCACGCCAGCGGTAGTGTAGCTATATGATTTTACTTGTTTGTTTTCGTTAATTTCTGAATTAGCAGAGCGAGGCGGTAATTTAGCACTCCCCATGCCAGTGACAGAGTCACTATACGAATTATATGAATTATGAGCAGCAGCAGCGAGCGAAGCAATAGCACCACCAGACAAGGAGCATGAAGATGACGATTTTACTTGTTTGTTTTTGTTAATTTCCGAAATTGCAGAGCGAGGCAGTAGTTTAGCACTCCCCGTGCCGGTGACTGAGACTGAATTATGAGTAGCAGCAGCCGAAGCAATAGCACCAGCAGACAAAGAGCATGAAGATGGCGATTTTACTTGTTTGTTTTCGTCAATTTCCGAATTTGAATTTTGAGCAAGGCAGCTAATAACAACACGATGCAAACCTTTGATTTCCGATAGCAGGAGAGACAATGTAGCATCTTTAGCATCAAGTTTAGTGTGCAGTTCACGAATCTCCGCTTGAAGAGTGTCATACTTTTGCAATAAACACTTATTTTCTTCATGAAGCACACTGACAGCAGACAAAAGGCGAGCATTATCCGCTTTAATTTCTTCGGCCACAGTAGATAACCTTTGTTGTTTAACTACATTTCCATCAGCGTTTTTATTTTGGCGCTCGTCACTCATATCCACAACCGCAGGTGGTGGAGGAGAACGAATTGACTTACGGCACACATCCAAACAAACATTACAAAAAAACGGCTTATCTATGCTCAGCAAATAGTCAAGATCAGCCTGTTGAATGCCGACGCATTTGAGATGAAAAAACTCTATGCACTTAGAGCACTGCACTTTAGATTCAGGGCGCTCAACCTTCTGCCCACAAACACAAGGCATATTAAATGGATTTACAAAAATTTATTCACTTAAATAAATCCAATTTTAATAAAAGAGTCACTGTCTCAGATTGTTCAATATGCACCATGCCAATGATTAGCAAATAAATAACTAGGTATATGATTTTAATCAAAGAAAATTGGAGAGCGAATAGAAACACGACTGCTCGGCGCGAACACTTTTCGATTGCCTACAGTCAAAAAGATTTTCGAAGAGGGTTCCTACTTGGTTGATCAAATAAATTAAATATTACAATGTGGGTATCAAATTACAGAAGTTTAAGAAATATGCATAACTGTTGGAGGCAGTTTTTGAGGATTGTTGCCACCTATTTGAAATGTTAACTCAATTAAATTAATAAAATAAATGAAATGTTGCAATGCGGGTATTAAACTAACAATTTTTAAAAATGCGTAGTAAAATATTTTCGAAGAAGGTTCCCACCTGTTTGAAAATGTAACTCAATTAAATTGATAAAATAAATTAAATATTACAGTATGGGTACCAAACAAACGGTATTTGAGAAATCTTGATTTGGAAATATTTTCATTATTATTATTTAGGTGATAATCCACCTATCTTAAAGTAAAGACTGAAAGTATTGAAATTAAATGAAATAGTACATAATTGGTACCAATCTAAAGGTGTTTGGCAAAGCCTTCCCAGCAAAAAATGGGTAATCGCTTTTAGTGGTAACGTGTTCTAGAAGGCATAGCGTTATAATGCCTTCGAATTTTTTCGCTTCTTTTATGCATTGCAAAGTAGAATGTCCTACAATATTTTATTTATTTCGCTTCTTTGTTTCATTTCGGGGAATGCAAAGTAGAATGTCCTATAATATTTCCTTTTTAATTCGTTTCTTTGCTTCATTTCCGGGAAAGCAAAGTA